AAAAAGAGTAGTGACCATCATACAAAAAACCCCCACAACTTCTTTCATAAATCACTTTTGCTCAACAACCACACTTTTAATACAAACAGCACAAAAGGGTGAACGCGACATTATGAAAGTGTGAAATACCGATGAACATCAAGAGGAGGAAAAAGTTGATATTTATGACAATGTGAACTTTTTTACAGACAGCAGCAGTGCCTTCTCACACATCCACCACTCATAGCAATGACTTAAGAGTTTAAAAAAATAAATAAAAAGAAATGATATGAATCCGTTACACATCAGTTTGATAACTCTACACAATAAAAATTTAAAGCATTCACATGTCAAACTAGTGATCTTATTCTGTGTGACCAACATAGAACGAAAGGAGCATCGTGAACGAACCATAAGACGTCAGGCAGACAATGCACATAGTGCTACACACCACCGAGACAATCTACACATTATCAACGGTGTGCAACACATCACCGAGACAATCTACACATTATCAACGGTGTGTTACACATCACCCGACAAAGCACACATTATCAACGGTGTGCTACACACCACCGAGACAATCTACACATTATCAACGGTGTGTTACACATCACTGCGTGGCAATCCACACATTAACTTTAAGAACAATATGATGTTACATAACATCATCTCAACAATCTACACGGTACAAATAATGTGTTAAGATGTTAACCCTATTTGTACACCCTGGGGTCATTTTGTACCCCCGGGGTGGTATTCTTTACATTATAGAATACTTCTAGTCCGAAGATCTCTTAGAAGCTTTCAGTATTTCTCAAAAAATCATTTTGACAGACTGCTATGCAAAGCTTTATGATCGGATTAACGAGTAAATTTCCTCTATGGAAAGTGGTGGCACAGAGTTCCCCATCATATGGATACAACAGTAAAGCACGACGTACGGATAGGGTCAACCAGACAATCCACAGGCTATGAACAATACATTTGAACATTGGCCTGACAAGTTTCCATGTGAACTACACAATATAAAAAGTCGACGATATAATCCATACAATCTAAACAATGCATTAAACGTCGAAGAGATAATTCATACCATCTGAACAATGCGTTAGAAAATCAAATCGAAAATCCATAAGATTCTGAACATTCTGTTAGAAAATCAAATCGAAAATCCATAGATTCTGAACATTATGTTAGAAGTCAAATAGAAAAATTCATACAATCTGAACAATGCGTTTGAAGACGTCAAAATAGAAAATCCATAGACTGTGAACAGTGCGTTAATAAAAGTTGAAGAGATAATCCTTAAAACATTATACGAACAATGATGCATTTAGACGTCGGCATGTAAACGCTTTTTGTGACCCACATAATATTATGAATATTTAAACTGGTGCAAAAAATCCCTGATACTTCATCAATACAGAGGCGTGGTCCAGTCATGTGGAAAATTGTAGCTGCCATGATGTTCACATTAGCTACACTCTAGGTTCGAACATCTTCCTGTTATCTCTGTGAGTGTGAGTGCCTGTGTGTGTGTGTGTGTGTGCGTGTGTGTGTGTGTGTATGGGTGCGTGTGAGGGTGTATGAGTGTGTGTGTGAGAGTATGTGCATGTGTGTGTGCGTGCGAGTGTGTGTGTGTGGGTGTGTGTGTGTGTGTGTGTGTGTGTGTGAGTATGTGTGAGTGTATGGGTGCGTGTGAGGGTGTATGAGTGTGTGTGTGAGAGTGTGTGCGCGTGTGTGTGTGCGTGTGTATGTGTGTACGTTTATGTGTGTGTGTGTGTATATGTGTGAGTATGTGTGTGAGTGTATGGGTGCGTGTGAGGGTGTATGAGAGTGTGTGTGTGAGAGTTTGCGTGTGTGTGTGTGTGTGTTTGTGTATGTGTGTGTGTGTACGTGAGAGTGTATGTGTGTGTGTGTGTATGTGAGTGTGTGTGTGTGTACAACAAAACGCTAAAAATTGAATCAGGTTAAAAAAGCAGCGAAAGAACCGACGCTCACTCAGACTTGTCTACCCGCTTTTCTCACTCGGTTCATCACTCATCAGGTTATATTTAACAAAGCACAGAGGTTAAAGTTCAAAGTTAAATGTTTTTGTGATAACAAAGCTTGTGAACACAGTTCGATTTGGAGGGAGAGAGGGAGGGAGGGAAGGAGGGAAGGAGTGAGAGAGTAAGAAGAAAAGGGAGAAAAAGAAAGGGAGATTGGTACAGTCCATGCCAGCTTTAAGCACGGTCATCGGGAGAAAGCTTAAGCGTGCTTAAAGTCGAAGCGTGCCTAAGTGCGAAGTAGACATAATCCAGAGATTTTCATGTAGAAAATTCCCAGTGCTATTACCCTTTGTTTGTAAGTAGGCCTATAGCAGTCCCACAAAAGTGTGCACTGTTATTTAGACACCCGCCATGGTAGTTTTTGTTCGCTTG